ATTTCACAATACACTTTAAAATTTTCAATGCAGACCACTTTTTAGCTTGGTCCTTTTTTATATTTCTGTATATATATGTATATGTACCTAAACTTAAAACTTAAAACTTACCGGAGGACCCTCTGATTAGAGGCCCGGAGCAGTGTCACCCCCCTCTTCGGTACGCCTTTGCATTCGCAAGTTCATTGGAAATTTTCAACATTAGTTATTTGCAATATCCATATAATATACTGAGGAAAATGGTTAAAAAATTCATTCTAGTAATTTTGAAAAGTAGTAGGCCCAACTTAATGTGATCATATCTGGATACCATTAACCGCATAATAGCATTAACCACATAAGAATGAGAATAAGGACGAGGAAAAAATATCCTTCAAAGCAGCAATTGAACTTAACTAATTTAATATAAATACAATAAGAAATATATAAATAGGTATTTTCACAGAAATGTTATTAGAAAATCAAAAAATTGTTTATAATCTGCTCATTACATTTCTGGAAATCATTTCATCGATGCTACAACCGTAATCTGAACATTTGGATTCCTCATTCGCTAGAGGGGAATTTATGAACGTAAAATTTAAAAATAGGCAAAAAAGCAACCTTGTAAAGACCTTATCTTGGTCTAATCAATTATTTTTAGTTCAAGAAACTTTCCTTTCTCTTCTAATTTCAATTTCCTGTAAGAATGTAAATTTAATGACGTATATGCAAATATAAGTGAGTTCGGAAACAATATTTAAACTGCAGTTTTAAGATTTCGCTGTACGAGAGTTTAATTCTGAATTTATGCTGCGTGGTTGATTTAGTAACCTTGCAGTTGAATAGTTGGTGTGAGCTACTTTCTTTAGATTATATTGATACTCTAGGCTCGGCTTTGCTGTGTGCAGCTGATTTAGCGATCTAGGTCAAGTAGGGGCCAGTCGAATAGCTAATCTTTATTGTAATTGTACATAATATTTTCTGCTCACATTGCTTAACCACAAGTGGTGGTTAAATTGTGAACACCGACTTAATGCGTTTTTGTTCAATTTAGTTAAAATAAAAAGGTTATAAAACCTTCTTCTGTAGTCATCTGTCCTTTCAAGACCTAGCGAGAATTCGCTACCTTGTCCTTCAGTAGGGTCTACCAGTTTATGATTCCGAAACACACTAGAAGACGCTACAACTTTAATGAGGCATAAATGTCTTAAAAGTGTTTTTTTAGCCTAAAAGGGCAATTTGCCCAGAAAGGCTATTAATTTCGTTTTGGCATTTTGCGATAATTCATTATAAACCGCGAATCACTTTTAAAATTGTCGCCAACAAATATTAGAGCCCTGTATTATATTTAAAGAAATTAAAGTAATGAAGAATCTGGATAAATGTATGTATGTTTCTCGCATTGTGATAAAACAACGGTACCTAGAGCCATCCAATTTTGAATAATGAACATCTCCAACCGAAAATGGGCATCTGGAAACCCAAATTTGGAATTTGTTTTATTATCTATTTCATATTTTGTAAAGCATTTATGAGCTTTTGATTAAGAAATTCAACCATTACAAAGCGAGTAATGGCAACACTGTACGGAAAAAAAAATTATCTCCAGCGCACGAGACCTGTATCGGAAATTCTAAAAATATGCTCTTTTAAATATTTTGTGATATTGGTGGTGGATTGAATTTTATGGTTTAAGTACGAAGAACATGATATTTAATAAGTACACAAAACATTAAGAAAGCATCTCTTTGGGCGTAATATAAAATCTAAAAGCTTTCAGGTTTTTTTTTTTTTCTTTGAGGGGGGGAGGGGGAATCAGGTACACTAAGACATTGGGGGTACACTCAGACCCTCCTGACCACGAAGTGGCCTCATCGTCAATCTTGCAGATTAACAGGTATCAGTATCAGGTATCATCCTGTATCAGTCTGCAGATGTTTTTGACATAGCAGAGTGTAAATACGTAAAATCATATATTATTTGAAGGAATAATTAGTGCATCAGGCGCCGCTTAATGTAGTCACATTTGTCCACTGTTATTTTTATAGCATGAAGTGAACGATAATATTAAACGATTAGAAAAAATATCATTAAGTGAACGATGATATTAAACGATTAGAAAAAATATCATTTAAAACAAGAATGGAATTGAACTAATTTAATATAAATACAACAAGAAACAGATAAATAAGTAATTTTATAGGATTTTTATTTAAAAAATGCAAAATATGTTTATGAACCATTCATAATGTCTTCAATAGTTCATTTAAAAGCTGCTCATTACATTCTTGGGAATTATTCGACCGATGTTATAACTGTAATCTTAATACTTGGAAGGCATCAATCATTCTCTAGAAGAGAATATGCAAATGTAAAATTTAAAATTAGGCAAAAAACATAACCTCAAATCGGCGTACATCTTTTCAGGGGAATTGTTTCCTCCTTCCTAATAGAAACTTGTATTAGATCATCCTCAACATCAATAGCAACCTTAGTTCGAAGCCAAACTAAGGCTGCTTCCTTTTTTTTTTTTCAGAGGAGGGTGTATAATTTTAAATGGTCCATTAAAATCGTAAACAAGCTATTTATCTGGCGCTATAGTCCTTAATTCGGCAGTATTTTCATGACTCTTGGCAAGTTTTATAATCTATATTTACTTTATTTGACAACTTGATGATAACATTAACCATGATCACATACATCTGCTTTATAATTTTTGGAGTATTTATAGACAACGTTTTCAGTCTGTGTCGTCAATATTAAAGTCATGGTAATAAAATATAACCGATTCAAATTATTTTAACTTAGCTACCGTAACTCTTTGCAAGCTTGAAAATTATGAAATAAATTCATATCATGTTGTTCAATAGATTTTTCACATTTATAACTGTACGACTTAAATAAAATGTCTTTTCAGCGCATTGCTTATCAGATAATTTCATAACTGAGTTTTTTTCTCGCCGTTCCAACTGTATATCATAAGATATGAAAAGTTAAAACTTTTAAGAAAAATTCTACGCTATAGTGATAAACTGTTAAATGTAAAAAATAGAAGCTCATATCAGGAAGATTTTATAAACAATAGACGATTTATTTAACAAAACGAAAACAAAGCAGTGATGGAACAACATACAACTGTATTTAACATAAACTTCAACCGTTATATTAATTATCTTCTTCAGATATTATGACCATAACAACATTTTTTAAAAAAATAATAGACTATTTACGTAAGAAAAGACCAGTTGTGAAACTATTTAAAATTGTACAGACAATTTCTTTACATTCTTCAATTCTTTTCTCTATTTGTATTTCTGTAATATATATATATATCTGGTCGTCCTGATATATATCTGGTCGTCCTGATATATCTGGTCGTCCTGAAAGTTCATGCGGGTTTTCCTATAGGAGGCCTTTAACTTCTAATTATTTTGTTACTGTTGATAAGAAGCGACTCTGATCGAAGAATTTTAAATAAGATCTTTTCTGCTCACGCTGAATAATTCCAGCATAGATCAAAAGACTGGAAAGCCCAAAAGTTCATGCTTACCATTTATGGTCTTTTAATATTAAATAAGGAAAAGATGTTAATCAGACTGCTTGTAACATAGGTGCTATATGCGTTCAAAATGCTATTTCTGATGACACAGTTCGATAAGACCTATTAAAAGAAGCTATCGATGATACTCTACGTTGTATAGTTCAGAAACTATCCGACAGACTAATATCTGAAGTATATGATCATTTGAAGAGGAATGGGTATGTAAGCCACTAAGATTTGTGAGTTCCCATACTTCAACAGAGAAGAATATGCATGCTCGAGTTTCGACATGTAATTCTTTGCTGAAAAAATAAAGAAGCTCCTTTTTTGAAATTCTTCACTACTTGAGATGAGAAATGGATACTTTACAATAATGTTACAAGAAAACTATCATGGGGGGGGATGAATCAAAAGAACCTCTTATAATGACACTGAAATGGAAGCTGCATGTGCCAAAAGTAATGCTTAGTGTATTGTAGGACCACAAAGGATTTGTATGCTATGAATTTTTGCCACCAAATAGGCAATAAATTCTGAAAAATACTACTCTCAGACGACAATTTTAAAAGCAGAAATCAGAGCGAAGCGCCCAGAACTGATTTATCTTGGAGGCGTTTTCTTCCGTCATGTCCGCTCGGCCCCACATATCGATGAATGTCAGACCAAAAACTTGTTGAATATGCCTAAGATGTTTTCATTTTCCATATTCACCACGCCTTATCCCCTTGGATTTTCACCTCCTTCAGATTACTTCAAAATTCTCTGAACGACGGGGAGATCACTTCTTTGGAGACAGTCCAACAGCACCTTGATAACACCTTTGCAAATAAATCTAGTGATTTTTTTTAAAAAGGAATTTTCCAGCTGCAAAACGTCATAGAACAAAATGTTGCTTATGTGCTTTATGTGCTTCAAAGAAATTTTCATATATTTTTATATTGCTTCAATTGTAATTATCATAAAAAGACCGCAGAACTTTCCGGATGGCCGAATATATAGAACTGGTCGAGGTTATTGTTTAGAAATTTATTTATCACATTGCTTTTATTCACTGAATGGTTTTTCTGATTTCTTATTCGAGGATTCGTATAACGTTCATTTTTAAAGTTATTTTTGCTTCGGTTTCACGTCGGAGCAGTTTTTATCTTCATGATTATTTACATTAAAAAGTTTTTTTTTAATTTTTCTTTGTTGAAATTTTAAGGAACATTAAAAAATTCACAATTATATACACATAATTCAGAAACGTGGCTGTGTTGAAAATTTTCCAGTTGCTCCTTGAAAAAATTCAACGAATTTTCGACAATTTTAATTTTTTAATTTTAATTTTATTACGTTATGTAACAGTAACCATTTTTTTCGATTTTAATGAAAGTATTCCCCAATGGACGGTTGGCATCTAATTTTAGATTTAATTATAATTTCTTGATTATATATATGTAAGAAAGCAACAGAATAATTTTTGCTTTCTTTGCAGCCTAGCCTGAGGCCACAGCCCCTCGGTGACGTAAATGCAAGATGGACAGCATGGAGGCGCTCAGGTAACTGTTAGAATCTACTATTGTTGTCAGTGAATAGCTAAATTAAGAATGAAATGTTTATATTTTCCTTTGAAAATTTACGAAAAGCAAAAGAAATGTTTAGCTTTTAATTTTCGTAGAATTGTTTTAACATAAAAGTGCTTGATGTTTGGGCACCTAATAAAAAACGTAGGTGCTCAATGTTTCAATAAACACCAAACACCAAAAATATTAAATATTGCAGAATCATTAGGGTATACAGGTGTATTAGTGTGTAATAGTGTAATTATACGCTTTCAAAACACACTGTTTAAAAGAGCATGTTTCTAAACTGCATTTGCTGAGGCGCGTGGGAGAAAAATTCACTATATCGTTGCATGGATATTTTGCCCTCGGTGAAACAAAAGATATCCATCACTGACAATATTATTTATTTAAATACGATGTAGTATATTGTACCAAAATTCTAAATAAAATCGTAATGATGTTTATTGAGAAAATGAAATTCGCAAAAATATAGAGACCTGGAAAACTTAATAATCACGCTGTTATTGTGGTCTCCAACAAGCCATTACGGAAGTCTATCTCTTTAAGTACGTAAAAACCACAAATTTAAGTACCTTTAATATTTTGTTTGATTAACAATTACGTCTTTTATCTGCTGAAAAACTATCGTTAACATTATGTTCTTATTTTTGATCTATAACCGTTTAGAAAAGTCTCACAACAAAATTTTTAGGGTGTTGGTTATGCATTTGCGTTGCTTACGAGTTCCATTTATAGCTTATTTCAAATACTTATTTTATAACAACTAATTTTAGTTTTGATTTTTAGAACGGGGAGCAACAAATTACTTCATCTCTAAGTTTCTGTATATTCGATATAAAATCTAATAACATGGATTTTTTATACTTTCAAGCAACCGTGTTTTTAATTTAGAGCTAGTTACTCGTCTAATTTCATGTAAATTCACTTGCACATAAATTTTGTGGCAAATATTTGGATAATTAAAATTAAAAACATTTTTAATTGTATAGCTACGTTCTTTAAATCTTAAGTATTGTCATGAAAATATTACATTAGCAATGCCACAAAATATTTTCAGAAATAATATAATTCATTCTTTTCCATGAATATTCTAGTATTCCAATGGTTTTTCGTGCATCATACTTAGTTTCAATAACTGGTTACTGTTTAGTCAACCATACTGAAAATTAGTATTAAAGATCTGAGTGATGAAATAGAAATCTACATTTGAGGTCGCATTGAAACGCTCAGTTAATCTTCTGCCGTGCGAATCTTGGTGCTAAATATACATAAACAAAACTTCTGTTTATTCAGTTATGATCCCTTAAGCACATCTCACGTGTCTTCCCTCATAATGAATGTTTGCAAATTCACATTTCGTGCTGCTAGGGAACAACGTTTAGCATCAAGTTACCTTGGAAGGAAGTATTTCTAGTGCATTAAGTACCTTGGAAGGAAGTATTTCTGGTTCATAAATTTAAAGTGATGCAAAGAGACCAATCTTTCAATCCTTTTAATGTCTTTCGATACATAATATTGCCGCCCTGTTCGATATAGTGGTTAGCGACGCTGGCTGCCTTACCTATGGGTCCGACTTCGAATCCTCGAGAAGGCATGGTTGTTTGTAAATGTATAGTGTATGTGCAGCATGGAAATACTTAAAATACTGGTGAAAAAGAAAGTCCTCTCGAGTGGTTTATTTTAGGAGAAGAGAAGTGTGACACTCTGAGAGTGTGTTCCGAGGTGTTCTACATCTCAACTGGGGTACAGCTGCACATTTGGTGTTATGAGACCAATGGTTAAATTCTGGTGTCCTGCATACTTATACCTGTATCTGTACATAATATTTAGAAAAGTGGTTTTTACGTCTGTGATTTTCATAGAAGAATAAAATTTGTGTTTTCTGACGAGCTCTTATGCAGCCGTTTACTTACCCTTATCAAATCTCTCACATTATCGAAATTGTGTTTTTATTTGTGAGTATTATATAAACGTCTGTATCTCTCTAGAAATATTATTAAAATATAATTCATGATATAAAATCAGTAGTATATGTCAGAACTTAATAGCTTTTATTGGCATGAATTATATTATGAATTCTCAAAACTTTGTACCTCCAGAAGTGCACAGAGTTCAGCTGAATTGAACTTTTAGTTAAAAGGCTGTACTGCATTCAGCCAAAAGACTTTGTAAGGATTTTCTTCAGAATTTTGGACAATTTCGCTATTGATTAGTTATCAAATTTTGAATTATATCACACTATGTTAGTTAAACATAATATGTAAAATTACGAAGAACTTTTCGGGTAGTAACATTAAAAGTGAAATGCTGGTCATCCAAATCGAATCTGCGATAGTGAACTCATAAAAATAGAATAAGAAATGAATAATAAGAATTCAGTAGAAAAATAAGACTATAAGAAAATGCGACTCGTCCCCCTCCCCTTTTCTTGTTTGTTTTCTTTTGCTCTTCACTTTTCTGATGTTATACGGAAATAGTCTTTCTTTTTTCCTCCTCTTCCCTTGGTCGAAGAACGTCAGTCAAAGATTAAATTTCCTGAAAATATTCAGGTTGTTTAATTACCTGAATAAAGTTTACCAATTTACCACCACAGAGCTTGAAAAACGTCACAAGTCGAAAGGACAGTCTAGATCACGTATTCGCAACCAGGAGGGAATTTCCTAGTTTCGGGGGAGGGGCGAGAATGCAGTCAACCTTTTATTTAGCTGTTCAGTATTTAGTTTAGTATGTGATTGTAAAAAAAATATTTTTTTATTCTAGTTTATGTATTTTTCAACATTTTCTGTACTTTTTCTTGTTTACTTCATAAAATATGTTTAAAAATAATCTAAATCTAAATAAATGTACATGTATTTTCCAAGTTTTGCAAAGAAGGGGAATAAACTTATAACTGAACTGAAAGGGGTGTGGGACAAAAAAGGCTGAGAACCCCTGGTCTAGATGGTTGAAACACCTTCTTAAGTTAGCTGATTTCTTAGGTTCTTTTATTCTTCTACTTGATTTAGTAATTAAAAGAATAATTGGATACTGGCTAATGTGTTTATAATAATTTCCCGTTGCGATGTAACCGAAGAAAGGCAGAAAGGATTTTAAAATTAAATTTTATATCGCATCATGTTGTTGTTGTGGCTTAACTCATTGTCTGATCTAAGAGTGGTAGATCAGACAATGAGTTATTGGTATGGGCCTTGTGCGCCATGTTGGTGACAGACGACATGTTGGTGACAGCTTCCGCTCTCAATTTTGATGGAGAACATCTCGGGGGACGGTCCAAGAGTCTACAGCCAAACCATCTGAGAAAACGTTCGGCTCGCCATGTATTTTGAGTGACCCCCATGCCCCACAGACTATATACACTTAAAAATATGTATGCCGTTTCGGGGTTCGAACCTGAGCCCAATGAGAGAGAGCAACCAAGAGCCCTAACCACTGCAATGATCAGGACGACATATTGCATCATGGTTTTGTTCAAAGTCATCAAAAATATTTCCTTCGTAAAACTTCTGAATGCGTTTTAAACAAATTAAAATTATTCCAAAAGAACTTTCTGCTGTAATATCTCTTTCATTTAGATAGCTGGGCCAACAAACAAAGCTCTAAAAATATACTAGTGATTACTCTTATCTTCTAACTATTATTCGTGAGCATAAATTATACATGTTGGGATATGTTCTTTTATACAGAATTTCAACTATTTCAAATAATTTGTGAAGAAAGAAATTAGGCTGGAAGGAATAAGTTAATGAAAAGCTCAAAACGCTAATGTTCTGTTCCATGACAGTTATTCCGTTCTTATTGTACTGCAGTCTTTAATACCATTTTCAGCAACTGCATTTTTGAGAAATTAATATTTCCGTTTTGTACCACTAATATTTTTTTTTATTTTCAGTCATTTGCTCCGCATTCTGAAATAACTAAGAAATTATCAGCGAATTATAAACACTTTTAATGCAAACATAATCCAATTTGCTGTTAACCGTATACTCATATAATATCATATGTCAGTAATTTTAATGTCTTAATTTATTAGAACAGTATTCATTGTTTGACAAATGCTCTTTCAAAAATTATTTTTCAAATTTACAAGGTCGTAGAAATAAATAAAGACTTAATTGAGTTTTCTATGGAGATATTAAATTTACTAAAATAACAAGTAAACAAATGTAGAAAGCACACAGCACTGAGAGCAAATCGGTTAAGTTTTGCTTTCAATAAAAAGACCATAAAGCAATGATAAATGCTTTATATTATTTTACCGACGTGATGGTAACAATATCATCTTTATTCAAGGCCCACCAGCGGCCGAGCGGTAAAGGCGCTGAACACTGGTAGTTCGGTCTGAGGTTCGAATCCCGCGAACGGGCTGGCTGCATGGGCGTTTTCGTGGTTTTCCCCATGTGTAACGTGTATACGAGCCAGTTTCCCTTAGAAAGTCCTCCACGAAAGGCATCCCTCCCTTTAGGCAGATAGCCCTCGTGTGCTTTGCCATAATTAAATACACCAACACCATCTTTATTCAATGAATTCAACTTTATTATTTTATCGTTATTCACCTACGCAGATGAACATCATGAAACCACCACTTAATGTTTGTATGTAGTGCCATCTATCGATGAAGACAATTACTATGTCTTCTGGAAGTTTAAAACTTTCCAATTATCTTCTTAACTAACGATCAAAGTTGCCATACGCCATTAACAACTTTAAAAAAAACCTTTATTTATTAAAGTTGAAAAAATAATCCGTCACGTTTTTTTACATCATGAAACTTTTAAAATTAATTTTTTTTTAAATCTTCCCGGTTTTAAGCAACTACTTTTTATAGCTTAACAATTTTTTACGTTTTATGGCAACATTAATTCTCAATTGTATATATTGATTTACTTTAAAACATGTCTCGCTCCCTTTTCCTAACATATGCAGAAATTCCCGTACGCAAAATTGTTTGATTGATTGCGATATTTCTTCTTGTC